ATAGTATTGGGACTATACAACAGTTGTCAAAGGACCCTCCAATAGATATACAACCATAGTATTGCGGGACCATACAACAGTTGTCAAAGGACCCTCCAATAGATATACAACATAGTATTGGGACCATACAACAGTTGTCAAAGGACCCTCCAATAGATATATACAAAGTATTGGGACCATACAACAGTTGTCAAAGGACCCTCCAATTGATATACAACCCTAGTATTGGGACCATACAACAGTTGTCAAAGGATCCTCCAATAGATATACATAGCATTGGGACCATACAACAGTTGTCTTAAATAAAAAAATAAAAAGTTTTAAGGTCACTTCACTTTGTATAAGAAACTCTTAAATGACAATGTGATCCCTGATTATTAATCCAAATATCCACCTTGACTGCTGAAACAGGAGAACATTGTGCTCTGTACTTAATAGAAAAATTCTGTGTATTGATAATCCCAAAACGACATGAGGACAACTCTTACATTTATGATTGCAATATCCTGTCAATGTCCCTTTCATACTTGTAATATCCTTTATATCCTATGCTAGAAAATTCCCTGCCATATTGTGCCGATATCTTAATTTACCTTATTTACCATATATATATACAGCCAGGGTTTGATTTCCTGATTGGACATAAAAAAGAATGGGGCAACCTGGCCAACCATGCAGGTTTTCTCAAGGCACTCGGTTTTCTCCCACATGAAGACTGTCAGTGTGCTTCAATCTGGGAAAAATCAACTTTAGTAGAGACTATCAAGTTATATTAAATTTTGGGCATGAGATTGCAGCATTTAACTATAATACTTAGAAAAAAATATGCCAAGACAGTTACGGGGGTTGTTCATTTTTTTTTTGGCATGAAACTGTATGGGGAAGGGCACTTATTTCAGCAAATACATTACATATCATGGTATAGGTATATGTCTTACACATAGATACACAGCAGCCTTGATACAAATATAGAAATCGTCCACTCAATATCAATATCGGTGGGAAATTGGCCCAGGTTCATCCACTAATAAGGAATAGCTATCTAAGGCATTACAGGTTCGGGAAACAAAATTGACTTTTTTTACAGTTTCTGTCTTCACACATGGAGATATAGCAGACGCTGGGGTATATAAATAACTGTCATTTCACCACATGGTCTAATGTAAACTTCCAGAACAATGTCCTCTTACAGGAGAAATAACAATAGTCTGTAGGATACAATATTGCATTGCTTCGCAATAACTTCACTGAAACACTAGAAGGATAGATATCGCCTCCAATGTTTCAAAAACTTACTTCCTCTTCAATGTGCAATAAGTGTTGTTCTGTCCGCTATGACTTTTATTAAGTTCTACCAATCTATGTCTATCATGTGTGCTGACAATGTTGTGTAAGATAAAGCTACAGTCCCCGTGGTATCAATCCATTATGACCTCCTCTCACCAAGGAACACTTGTCTGGGCTAATACAGTACTCCTAGCATGACCAGGACCAATAACACTGGGCAACTTCTCCAGAGGGACTATACCATCAACTATTAGATTAACTTTCATCATGTTTCAATGTGTGAAAATCAATCTCTGATCACAAGCATCGTATTTCAATAAAGTTTTCATCAGCACATCAGTTCTTGGTTAGAACTGTTGATTTTTTTAGGAGATCAAATTTTAAATATAAGGGACTTGATCATTCCAAATTCATGTCTAGGGAAAGGCCTTACTGTGCATAATGTACAGAATCATCCAATGCTACAGCTGAACCAAATCAAATGACAATGACACCACCTGTGTTACGATAGATTGGAGATCTACCTTTGCAAAGGTAGCCAGAAGATAGCAGAAACACCTGTATAAATTAGACAGCTAATCTACTTGTGTAAAAGTAGCCAACATATTTAAAACATGTGTTAAGCGGACAGCAAATATGCCTCTGTAACGGTGGATAGCAATTGAGCTTGTCAAGTTAGATAACTGATTTTGCTATGTAAAGGTAGCAAACAGATCTACTGATATAAATGTAATGGTGTTAAAATTTCAGAATTTCTACGGTGTAGAAATCCATATCTGTATTATCACGTTTTTCGTTTATCATCAGGATCTTGAACAATCATGTCAATACAGAAAGCAAAACTCATTTCTCATCAGGAATCAATCTTTTTCAACATGGAGCAGAACAAATCCACACCTTTTGGGTAAAGCACTCATCTTTTATTCAAGAGATCTGGCAAATTGTTTCCAAAGCAGATATTGCCTTAGCCCTGTGCCGTGTCGACCATACCACTGACTGACACATCAGGTGTAACCCACACGACCAGGCTCGTATCTGTAGGCTCTAATGTCTCACCGAGATCCCTATAAAAACAGAAACGACTGTTCCTTCTTACTGGCTACAGGTAGCTCTCCGCATTATCAGGTTCAATACTCAAAGTCACCGACTTAGATATGCATGATAGCTCTCCATATCATTAGGCTCAACACACAAAGTCACCCACTTAGATTTACATGATAGCTCTCCATATCATTAGGCCCAACACTCAAAGTCACCCACTTAGATGTGCATGATAGCTCTCCATATCATTAGGCTCAACACTCAAAGTCACCCACTTAGATGTGCATGATAGTTCTCCATATCATTAGGCTCAACACACAAAGTCACCCACTTAGATTTACATGATAGCTCTCCATATCATTAGGCTCAACACACAAAGTCACCCACTCAGATGTACATGATAGCTCTCCATATCATTAGGCTCAACACTCAAAGTCACCCACTTAGATGTGCATGATAGCTATCCATATCATTAGGCTCAACACACAAAGTCACCCACTTAGATGTACATGATAGCTCTCCATATCATTAGGCTCAACACACAAAGTCACCCACTTAGATGGGCATGATAGCTCACCATATTGTTAGGCTCAACACACAAAGTCACCGACTTAGATATGCATGATAGCTCTCCATATTATTAGGCTCAACACACAAAGTCACCCACTTAGATGTACATGATAGCTCTCCATATCATTAGGCTCAACACTCAAAGTCACCCACTTAGATGTACATGATCGCTCACCATATTATTAGGCTCAACACACAAAGTCACCCACTTAGATGTACATGATTGCTCACCATATTATCAGATTCATTACACAAAGTGATCAACATGGAAGGATATGATAACCATCCATATTTTCAGGAAATTAATTAATCTAACAAGGTCACCGTCTTTGATCTGATATTGTCACTACAACTTTGAACAAGAGATTATTCAGCATGAACACAACATTGATATTGTTAACATCAATTCTGCTACAGAAGGCTTGCAATTAGCCTCTCGCCTAATTGAAAATAACGGAAGAATCAATACTGTTATGATTGTAATCTCCATAAGCAGATTAAATTTAACTCATCAAGCATGGAATCAGGGCAAAAAATATAATGAGTGGTTATGCATCATTCAGAAGATGGCTTTAATTGGTTTTCCCTATTTCCTTTAATCACGTGGCTTTTTTGTTTGTTTGATGTGATGTAATCAAACTGTACCCATATTGATGTCTCAGTGAAAACAACAGCTAAAGACGACACACAGACAACATCAACACAACACCACTCACCTTGTGACCTAGTTCTACTATACAACAGGTAGTTTACAGTCTTGCATCATGTCATGTGGACAATGTGAATCCGGTATACACTTGAAGCCGAGCAACCATATTGACAAATACACTTTTTCAGAATACAAAGAGATATATCTGAATGCAGGACAAAAAATAAATGAAAATGTGCGAAGGTCTTACATTACCATTCTAATATGCCTGTGATGATACCATGTACCATATCTGGGCAGACAGTTCTATGTCAAAGTTTTGTATGGAAACAACATACTGTACAGCTAATTTACAGATTTGCATCCAAAAGATTATATTTTTTCAGTGAGAAAGACTTGATATGATGGAATATAATCATCATCTTGATTTTGTAGCTGGAGGTTAAGAAAAATCCATGGAAAAAGTCGCCATTATATAGCTTAGCCTATAAATTTCTTGTAGAACGTGAGAATTGGTTGATAGGTTTTGTAATGTTAGTTAAAGATTGGGTTAACAAAACATAAACATAGGTCTGCTGAGGAAATTACGGTATATTTGTGACATAAAGAACACTGACACTCCGTTTCACCAAGTCATCGGAGACGGAGCTGAAGCAGCTGGTGACACACCGATGAAAAAATAGCTACACACACTACAGATGTACGACATCCAGTAAACCTACTTCAGTTTCTTGACTAGCTCTGGGCGACTCAAGGTGCTGGAACATTCAGATAAAACATTGGCGTTTACTACACTATTCGAATAAAATATCATGGGGTTGACCTAATGCACTTCACAATCACAAGGGACTGGTGCCATCTTTGACAACACAAAAGAGAAATCATCAGCGTTGCTGATGGTATTCTGCCATGCACTGCTGCGGTGCTTGGAGTCAGCCAACAGCAAGTTGCGTTAAACGACTCCAGGAATTAATATTTCACATATTACTCTAAATAAATTCATCACTTCAACAAAAGATATTTCAGTGTAATAACAACACGATAAAATCAATTCTAAATGTTTTGAAGAAAAAAAATTATGCCCAAATGAAATTACACTGGGGCTCTATCAGGAACCAATCTGTCTGAAAATGGAACCCTTCAGTTTTACCGACCTACTTTTACTCCATTATATATAAATTCTCCAGGGGGAATTTTCAATGTTTTAGATTTGGAAGGATGACAATTATATTTTTTCTTATACAGCTATACGTGAAATATTCATTCATATCCAAATGCCATACAGCCACAAGTGCAATGATTTCTCCCAACCATCAGGAGTTCTAAATGAGAAGTATTCAGGTCAAATCGGCAGGCCACAGCAATCTGCAGTCTAGCCTAGTAACGCAAATAGGTTCTTTTATTATTAAAAGTAAAATTAGAAAAGAAAAGCTGAGAATGAAGTGACACTAACCTAAGAGATTGTTCAATGATTTCTTTGTCAGCTTCCTCTTTCTCACGTGCCAATCGCTCCTCTTCAAGTCGCTTTTGTCTTTTCCGTTCTTCTTCGATGCGCTTCTGTTCCTTCAACTTCTTTGCCACCTTTCGGGCAAACATTCCTCGGACATATTTCTGAAAGAAACAATAATGAAAAAAATCTTACAAATAAAAAAGGATTATGTTTTGAATAATTTGAGTATAGAAAATCAGCTTTTTGAATTCTTTATTCAGACTCTTTCATGGTTTTTAAGGCCTTGTGCTGTAAGAGAGTAAGACTCATTGTCTTAGCCATTGCATGTACACAGACTCCAGTGACGTTTCTAACTGCCATCAATCTGACCGTATATAGGTTTAAATGAATAATCTGGCTACTCCAAACAGAATGGTCATACATCAACCATCGAACATTTCACATGGATAATCCAGCTACTCCAATCAGTGAGGTGAATAGCTGTGATCTTCACATGTACACCTAGTACATCTGTACAATCAATAGCATTCAGATACACCAGCATCTAGTTTGATTCTGTTATTCCTGATGTATCCTCAAGAAATTTAAATTACAGTGCTCTTAAATTCACTTTCAGTCCTAATTTGATTTTTTGCTGATTCAACTGAAATTTAAACAAAATGTGCTGTTATTCAAGTTTATTTTAATTATCTTCAGATAAGAAGATTTGGTTCTTTAACTGTAATTGATCCAATGTACAAACCCCGATTAAATGGGAAAAGTTCTGTAATCAAATTGGTTTTCCGTAATCTTCTACCAGAGTGGAGTGGGGATATTGACCTGTATCCTTTACATGATTAAATTACTCAAACCTGGATTTTTTTTTTTATAATTCTACATATTGCCATTGATCCCTCTCATCCACATATGCCTGAACAACTATCTCCAGTTGTTTGGTGTTGGGTATAGAGAATTTGAAATTCTACCACGTCTTTGATATAATAACACTTCTAAGTTATTTTCAAACAGATCAACACTCTTCAAAAACCTCACTCACAAATTTTATGTGACTTATTGAAATAAACATCTGGTTTGAAGTATGACATCAATGTTTATTATTCATTGTCTGTCGACCAAATGGCGACTGAATATGAAAAATCCTTCCCAAAAATATCCAGATAAAATAGCCAAAAAAAGGCCATCTGCCTGCAGGGTCAGAAATGATAAAAATATGCAGCTTGTTGTGTTTTTTTTGTTTTTTTTAGAGGCATCATGTGACAAATATTTGCATGCACAAAAGAACAGCCTAGTTTAAATAATTAAATTAATAGGTGTATAGACACTAAGGTAGACGCCAAACGTTTCATCAGCTAGAATAGATTGTTGTCAAAGTATCCTGACTGAAGCAAGACACAAGCTAAATATTCTGACTCTATGCCTCATGGTTCTGTAGAGGACTTGTTTATGGACAGAATGACAATGCACCATCAAATAAACGTACAGACACTTTGTGACAGACAAGGTGATAGAGATAAGATTAAAACAATCATAAAGACCCTAATAAACCCCTACAACTTATTAAGAATACCATTGCATTTTATTTTTGATTAGACACGACTTGACAAATTAAAACCTTACCAACAAAATTATTCCTGGGGAAATCAAACCAAGATTCTTAATTAACAGCTGAAACCAATATGATACATAAAGGTTACCTCGTTCCACAAACTTTATCTCAATCTATTTTAATATCCCATTTGTGCCCAAGTAAACACAGCAGTGACTGATAGGTTGATGGCAACAGTCGCCTTCCATAAATAGTAGAAATTTAGTTTCATCAGTTTTTAATTCATTTGGAATTAAATCACGCCATCGACTTGAGGGGAAAATTAAAATGTTGGTCGAAGTAGTGGCGAAACGGTCTTTATAACATTGCTGGTAAACAGATCCGAGTGAATTCAATTTCAATCAGGAAAAAACAACCCTAATATACAGCAATGGATTCCCAAAACGAGAGGACGCAAATTCGTAGGGGAATGACAGAACTAGAAATCAATAGCTCCAAGAATCCTCCCCATGCAGGAAATGGTAATTTGCCTGTGAAATCGAGCTTGGCTTTGTAGGAGTTCTACTGGTTAAGTCTGAAGCCTCTAGAGACATATATACCATTGTCAAAGTCATCCATTATGTATTTTAGAATTGAGGCTGGAAAACTTTAAAAAATAAAACCTCAACATTTCTAGAATGGCTTCCCTGGTAGCATGGTAATGTTTGTTAGATGTTTGTAGCAGCTATCACACCATCACTTTGGAGTTAACTTCAAACAGGAACTGAAGAATACTATCACACACAAAAGATCATATAAGCATGTACAAGCAGAAATCAATTATAGATAGACTGCATAAATACAACTTCCCTTGACACAAAACAATAGCCTGCATCCAATTTGCAACACTGTACCATTCCTTTCTAGATAATTCTCTAAAGCAGCTTTATTTGTACCACATTTTCGTACCTCAAATTTCCATGTGCCATGTATGTGTGTCAATGCAACCACACTCTCTATCATCAAAATGGAAAAGGAGAAAATTGAATTTGTCATTTAAAAAAAAATAAAAAAATATCAAGCTGTCATCTCTGACAAAATTCCTGAACGTAATATTGAATCTTTGTATTGGTGATTGTTAACTGGCAATACAATTTCAGGGTTAACATTTATGAGAGATACAAATCACTGGCCTACTCTATATTTCAGTGAAGCAGATAATATCACGTTTCTTGAGCAAGCAAAGGAAGTAACATTAAGGATAATTTTAACCCATAGGATTTTTTATTTTTTTTCTCAATCATTCAACAAATGATATATAAGTACATTAAACAAGTGCATGCATGCCAGCAATATTATCATTAAGGTTGTAGCAAAGACATCAATCTGTAAAGGTCAAATGTCATAACTAATCGAAAACTCTCAAGTGTGGCAACTTGTAGGCGAGGCATGCATACAAATACATTTTTCAGTGTCATTAATTTGAGGTAATATTAATTACACAATGTTTATTATATTTTCTTCAGGAAAATGCAGTGCAATATTTTTGTTCCTGAGTATAATGTGAGGGTTTTGCAAGCTTAATCATGTCACTTGCTATCCTGTACTTCTGTTGCTTGAATAACTTGACAAATATCCCCTCTGCAGTTACACATGAAGTCTACCATGTGCTGCTGATATAAGCCAAGCTAAGTCCTGACTAGCCATATAAAAGGTTCAATGACACAAATGCCACGCAGGGCATGTAAGGAAAACATGGTGTAAATTGGATAAATCTGCTATTCTTAGAAGACAAGTAAATCACCAAGTGTCAGTAAAGTCATACAAGACAGGGCAACCTCTATATCACACCACACATCTCTTACATACCACAGACCTCTAATATACCACTAATATACCACAGACCTCTAATATACCAGTTACCACGCATCTCTTACATACCACAGACCTTTAACATACCACAGACCTCTAATATACCAGTTACCACACATCTCTTACATACCACAGACATTTAATATACCAGTTACCACACATCTCTTACATACCACAGACCTTTAATATACCAGTTACCACACATCTCTTACATACCACAAACCTCTAACATACCACAGACCTCTAATATACCAGTTACCACACGTCTCTTACATACCACAAACCTCTAATATACCAGTTACCACATATCTCTTACATACCACAGACCTCTAATATACCAGTTACCACACGTCTCTCACATACCACAGACCTCTAATATACCAGTTACCACATGTCTCTTACATACCACACATCTCTTACATACCACAGACCTCTAATATACCAGTTACCACACATCTCTTACAAACCACAGACCTCTAATATACCAGTTACCACATGTCTCTTACATACCACAGACCTCTAATATACCAGTTACCACACGTCTCTTACATACCACACATCTCTTACATACCACATACCGCTTATATCCCAGTTACCACACATCTCTTACAAACCACAGCCCTCTAATATACCAGTTACCACATGTCTCTTACATACCACAGACCTCTAATATACCAGTTACCACACATCTCTTACATACCACATACCGCTTATATACCAGTTACCACACATCTCTTACATACCACTAATATACCAGTTACCACACATCTCTTACATACCACATACCACTAATATACCACATACCACACATCTCTTACATACCACATACCACTAGTATACCAGTTATCCCATCCACAGACAATCAAGCTAGGGCCCGACATGACATGGACATCCATAACGCTTAGGTTTTAATGTAACTTGCCTAGGCTATCAAATATAAACAATAACATGTCTGTACAACATTACTGTCTCAGCTCCCGTGCAAACCAGTGTCAATGTTTGACCAATTTCTATAAATAATAAGGGTGACCTTGGCTTTGAAAAAGAAACCTTGAAATACAAAATCGTTTTAGGTTTTCCCATTCTTTAATTTTGCAAAAGGTTTTAAGAAAAAACATTTCAGAAATGAAGTTGCTGCTAATGTCACTGAATTAGTCAATAAATTACTATAAATAGTAACAATGACCTTGATTTTTCTCTGTTTAAACTTTGTCATATGTATCTTTATTATCAAGAAAAGCCATATTTCTTATCATACCTCCATTTTTTAAATCCCTATTTTGAAAACTAAATGTACTCAAATGTATAATATATTTTGAGGAAAAAAAACTAACACAAATCATGACTGATATACCTGTAAACGTTTTCAAGACTTAGAATAAAAACAAATATTTATACACTAACATTTTCAAGACTTTGTATAAAGTTTTTATTTATACACAATCATGAGAACTAAAACTGATATCAATATAAAAGTATTAATCATAAAATAACAGTGTAATATTAACTCTCCCATCACCGTGAGATGGTACTTCAAAACATCTCAAAAAACCTACACAATCCATAAATTGTTCAAGGGCATATACAGCATTACACGTAATTTAAAACAATGTAATGATATAAATTTAGTCAAAGCTTCATTGGGCAATTTCTGAATATAATTTTATTAACATGTTTTTGAAAGAAATCCTCATAATATCCCAAAGGCAGGAAGATGAGAGGTTTTGCCTAGTGGTATCGTTCTTATGAGACTTTTAATGTGTTATAAATTGTTCTTTCAGACAAGAAATGAAACAAAACTTTCCTTTGAAGTTTATCGTTTTGAGAAATAACCTTGAAAAAGGATGAAAGGTCATGGGTATATTACCCAGTGCATACAGGCTATATCGATTTGATATGATTAAATTTCACTAAATTGGTTTAGAATTCAAGGAGCAGACAAAGATAAAGGTTCAAGAGGATTATTTAGAACATATCTCTGTGACCTTGGCTTCAAATGGAGCCCAAATTCAATGTAGGCCGATAAAACATTATCTATTAGCTTTGTTTGTGCATGTAAAGATTCTTTAAATCCTCTCAAAGGACCGAGATGCAAGTAAATAACACAGCATATGTATTTTCAGCCTGACCTGAGCTGGTAGCCCCTAGATTTGAACATGTATTCCCAAGAACACTGTTGTATAACAAGATACATGTACAGTCAGCCAATAGGTAATTAATCATCAATTAATTGCACTTCTAATTAAAATACTATGAAAGCTAACATGTATATTCTATACATATTCTATACATGTTATACCATGGCAGCAGGGTGACAGAAAACATTCCTAGCAACATATATTCCTGGTCGAAGTACCAGAACCATTTAGAGCTCTTCATCTTCAATGAAGGTCAGAACACATGTCCCTAAGGCTCAATGAAGGTCAGAGCACATGTCCCTAAGGCTCAATGAAGGTCAGAACACATGTCCCTAAGGCTCAATGGAGGTCAGAACACATGTCCCTAAGGCTCAATGGAGGTCAGAACACATGTCCCTAAGGCTCAATGGAGGTCAGAACACATGTCCCTAAGGCTCAATGAAGGTCAGAACACATGTCCCTAAGGCTCAATGAAGGTCAGAACACATGTCCCTAAGGCTCAATGGAGGTCAGAACACATGTCCCTAAGGCTCAATGGAGGTCAGAACACATGTCCCTAAGGCTCAATGGAGGTCAGAACACATGTCCCTAAGGCTCAATGAAGGTCAGAACACATGTCCCTAAGGCTCAATGAAGGTCAGAACACATGTCCCTAAGGCTCAATGGAGGTCAGAACACATGTCCCTAAGGCTCAATGGAGGTCAGAACACATGTCCCTAAGGCTCAATGAAGGTCAGAACACATGTCCCTAAGGCTCAATGAAGGTCAGAACACATGTCCCTAAGGCTCAATGGAGGTCAGAACACATGTCCCTAAGGCTCAATGGAGGTCAGAACACATGTCCCTAAGGCTCAATGAAGGTCAGAACACATGTCCCTAAGGCTCAATGAAGGTCAGAACACATGTCCCTAAGGCTCAATGGAGGTCAGAACACATGTCCCTAAGGCTCAATGGAGGTCAGAACACATGTCCCTAAGGCTTGCAATGTTCTTACCTGTATACAAATGATGGCACGCCTCTTCCTCTGGAAGGCTATCCTGTAGCGGAAACATTTGAAGTTTGTTTGAAGTATAAGGACAGCTTCTCTCTTCCGCAGGTAATCTGTAGAAGTTAGAAAGTCAATCATTGAAGATGATTTTCTTTAAAACAATAACTCTAAATACAACAAAAGGAGCACCTGTTTAAATTTTAGTTTGTCAAAGCAGAAAGTCAAACAGAGTGAACATCTTAACTGTACCATATAGTCATTTGGTCTGTTTAGGGCTCATCAGTGGTAAAATGTACATAAAATTTAGACCATTTAATTCATGCTAATTATCTCAAACTAACTGCCCAACATCACCATATGACCATTAAGGACCACACAAGTATTAATCAATATTACATGAGAAAAAAATTGATACATCAAAACAAACAAACATTAAAAGATGATTTCAAAAAGTCAAAGTATCATGAGCAACCATAGTCCCAAACCTCTCCCAAACCTCCGAACAAACTTGGAGGGGAAAATGAACAAATAGCCATAACAGTAAATACATGTACTGAGAAAAGGCCTCATTCTAGAAGGTACAGTACCAAGTACCTGGTAATCTAAAAGTTACAGTACAAAGTACTGATTATTCTAAAATCTGTATATAATCTCTAACATCAAAATACTAGTCAAGGTCATAGGATTGTATTGATAAACAGAAGTAGGAAGTACATCCCTAGTTGAAAATCCAATGCAGGGAGACAATATCACAATTTCCACATATTCTAATGTTTAATATTAAACTGATGAATATTGTATGTTTATTATTAACAGAACAGTGTTTTCTCTCAATATTAAAGTATTTCAAAGCAATGCAGGCATTAATTCAGTTGGTTTTTTTTATCAATGAGCTACATGTATCCATTTTTCTGTACTTCAGGAAATCGGCTACCTATTTCAATACTGTGAAGTTTTTCAAGGAAGATAACTCTTACCTGCAATTACTATGTGCATATGGTTTTAATATGGTTATAAAATGTCAATTTTTAATCGTTTATAGATAATTTATTTGACATAATTTCAGCATTTATTAAATTGATATACATTAATGCAATACTAATCTATGGTTGTATCATTTTTATTGATATTATTTTGCAAAAAATTGTGTCTTTCATTTTTTTTTTTCAAAAGTCACTCCTTTTTACATAAATTTCTACAACCTATAATTTTTTTGTGGCAGAAAATTTTCTTTCCTTCAAAGCAATATAACTACAAAATTTGAAGAAATTCTACTGAGAAATGGCGACACAATCCTATTACCTTAACCTAAAATTATAGTTACAAGTGATGTGTATAATCTCTAAATGCAAAATATTAGGAAATCTAAAATTATAGTTACAATTGATGTGTATAATCTCTAAATGCAAAATACTAGGTAATCTAAAATTATAGTAAAAAGTATTGGTTAATCTATAATTACAGTAAAAGTACATCAATTTCACACTTCAACAAAAAAATATTCAAATTTTTCACAAGTTGATATGCTCCCTTTTGTGAATGATTATCAGTTAATCATAAAGTGCTGTACTGTGAATGGTTTGTCAATGAATTTTAGAACAGTTGGTCTTTGGTCTATTGATCACAAGACGGGTTACAACCTTGCTATGTCTTTTCCTGTAGCAAGGAAGCCATTCATTTATGGAAGGCTAAGTGAATATTATTCATTATCAATGTATCATTCCAGGCTGACTGCCATTCTGACACGACAGTCTGTGCAACACATAGTTTAAACTGTGTAAAAGGAACATAAAGTCAGAAGGCTGTAATAAAGATAGAGCCGACTTCAAATCACAGTCTGAGTCTGCAATTTGATTGCCATGAATTTCCACATCGAGAAAACCCATAAAATGGTGTCTTATTACCATAACTACGTATAAATCATTTAGTTTATTAAATAACTTATAAAGCTAAACGTTCTGCAAACATCAATAGTTATCATTCTGCAGAAACAATTCCTTTTTATCCTTTTGGATGAAAACATTTCTGTGTTATGTGTACTTCTTGGTCACACTTAACTGTGTAGTGTGTAGGTTAAAAGGTTAGAAAGAAGTCTGTGTCACTAGATATTGAAAAAAAGAGGTGTTTAAAAAGGCAACACAGAGAAATACAATAAATACAGAAATGCTATGAAAATAGAGGTGTTTAAACAGGCAACAGAGAAATATAATTAATTCAGAGGTATTAAATGGGCAACATAGAGAAACACAATACATACAGATGAGTCTTATATAGATGGACATCACAAAGAAATACAAGAAACAGGGGTATTTGGATAGGCAACAGAGAAATGCAATAAGGAGATGTGTTTAAACGAGTAATCAAAAATAGACAAGAAATACAGAGGTGATTACAATGTTAAACAGACGCAGAGAAATATCCCTGAATATGCCAGGTCGCCACACTTTAGCATAAAATCTCCGTTACATGTAAACAGGCAAATACTGCATAAAATGAATAATTTTGTCAAGTATAATATCTGCTTTCTCAGAAACCATCAATAATTCAGAGCATCTCATCTCCACAGTTCATTGTGAGATAATGGCGATACATCAGCTGTCAAATATTGAACAAGGATGGAGAGATGGAGAGACTTGAGTAGGACCTTAAATAAGATCTGATATCATCAGAGAATTTCAGAGAGTTGGTTTACTGAATAGGGCATGTAAAACACCATCTACAGATTGACAGATGGTTGTTAAGGGTATTTTTCACAGTGCCAATTTCACTACCAAAGCAATATTTTTCTCATGAGGAAATTAAGCTTATTGAAAAAGTCTTTATTTTGTTGTTGTTGTTTGCAACCAAAACTTAATGTTCTTTGATCATTGTATTGACAACCCTTATTTATAAAATAATTCTGCTATGTTATCTTTAAAAGTTCAGAAACAATTATTTCTGATCTTTAGTCGAGGCCTTGACCTTATGACTGTTGCTTTAAAAGCCAAATGAAAGACACTATTACATTATGCATGGTATCACATTGTTCATCAGCTTCAACAGTTAATAGGTTCCAGCCTAGATAAAACCACAGTGGACATACAGACAGACGGCGCCAAACCACTACAATATGTCCCAGGTTTATAAAAAGTGTGCATTTCGTCAGCAGATCTGTCCCTCTGCCTCACTTGAGAACATTGTTGTGTAATGTAAAAATCAATACTTGAGGCACATGGAGTATCATCAATCGCTATCATGGGGTGCAGAAATCAATAGAAGTACAATACACTGTGGACAGAAGGGGTGAACCGCCCGCCTTCATTTCAATACCCCTCCATCAAACATGAGTACTGCTCCCAGTACAGCCCCACTTCCCTGACCGCCTTAATGATGACAGCTTTGTGTAAGTGATAAATTAGCCATACACAGTATGCAGATTGGTATATATGTGGTATAATACAACATACTCCCGTATTAGCCATGCATGTAGAGTTATCATACACATGACTTCACCATTATCTCACAAAGCCAAAATGAAAAATATCAAATCAAGTAAGTTTTCATCTTACAGATGCAGGTTTACATTGTATCATATCCAGAGATCAATCTAGGTTTTAGGGGAGTCAACCCTTTTTCAGATTTGGGGGAAATTAAATTTGATACAAGGCTCTAGCGTCATGAAGGTGAAAGATGAACGTTTTGTCTGACATACATGTGGGCAGTATATTTCAATTTATAAACAATTTTAAGCTTAAAATTGTAGATTTTTTGTTTATATTATGTGGAGCAAAATGTATATATGCATGTGTTAATCATTTTAACTGTTGAACTTTAAAGAAAACATATATAGGGGATATATTTTGAAGAAAAAACATCTATTTTCTTGTTGAAATAGGGGAATTTTGAAGCACATAGGGGGAATTTCAAAGAACACGGGAATTTTCTTCTGTAGGGGAAACTACCCATAAACGGTAGTGAATCAAGTCTAGATTGATCCCTGATATCCCAAACAAAACCTAAAATAGTCACTGATTCATCCTGGTTAAGACAGTTACTTTTCCACCTGTGTAATTCCCAAATCAGGATATGGTACAGTTTAGTATAAATGTATGAAGTCTATTATTCTTTCAGGAATAATTTGTTTAAGTTTCCAACAACAGAACAATAAATATCTTTGCTACCAAACATACATTTTACAGAGGAACCTCCGCCTGTATATATCCAGCAACGGATGCAGAAGTATTCCCACTATCTTGTTTGTCACACCTCAGACTGGAAAATGGTTAAGTCAGCTCAAATGCTATCACATTGCCCCTAAATAACCTATACTCTATTGTAAAATAGGCTATTAATGGCACAGAGAGTAGGCTATTACTGGCACAGAGAGTAGGCTATTACTTGCACAGAGAATAGTCTATTACTGGCACAGAGAATAGGCTATTACTGGCACAGAGGGTAGGCTATTACTGGCACAGAGAATAGGCTATAACTGGCACAGAGAATAGGCTATTACTGGCACAGATAATAGGCTATTACTGGCACAGAGAGTAGGCTAATACTGGAACAGAGAGCAGGCTATTACTGGCACAGAGAGAAGGCTATTACTGGCACAGAGGGTAGGCTATTACTGGCACAGAGAATAGGCTATAACTGGCACAGAGAATAGGCTATTACTGGCACAGAGAATAGGCTATTACTGGCACAGAGAGTAGGCTATTACTGGCACAGAGAATAGGCTATCACTGGCACAGAGAATATGCTATTACTGGCACAGAGAATAGGCTATTACTGGCACAGAGAATAGGCTATTACTGGCACAGAGAATAGGCTATAACTGGCACAGAGAATAGGCTATTACTGGCACATAGAATATGGCTATTACTCGTGAAGGAGTATTACAATTAAATATGATATAACTTGTAGAAATATTACATTACAGTTAGATATGATACTTTGCGATAGGCAATTACTTAGATATGATACTATAATAGGCTATTACAGTAGATTCCTCTTAATATCACTTCCCATTTGTCAGAGAGAAAAAACATGATATTAACCGAAACATGACATAAACAGAATACATATTTTCTGATGTTTTTCAACCCTCAAAACCGGAAGTGAACTTAGTCTCATGCCTAAGTGATGTGGCTCTATGAAGAAGATTGATATTTTGTAACTAACCTTGTTCTATACCCTAGTTGAAATATAGATATAAGTATAGAAATAAATTTGTTATTTGTATTTCATTTCAGTACGCAGTTACATTTCATATTGTTAAGTAGCAAACTGACGATCAGTACGATTGTAATTATGATTGTTTACTGCAGTAGTGATGTAGGCATACAAGTGTTTGGCTGGTATTCTGCATCAAATTCAATTGTAAACATGAGACTTGGTAAATATTTACCTATATCTTGATATATATACTGTTCTTTCTCTAGTAACATCTTTTTATGGGTTAATTTCCTTAGATATTTGCTGCAAGTGTGTAATCGAAGATAGTTACACATGTTATAATTAGTTGAAAGAATACATCACACTTGGCATTAGAAAAGTTTACAGATGTTAGACTGCCCTAGCTCCCCAACCACAGGTGAATATCATGTTAACAAGTATGTAAGTCAACCTATTGTTTAACAGTCAGCCAGGTGTAACCTATTGTTTGACAGTCAGCCAGGTGTAAAAAATACCCTGTTAGGCCAAGGCATTGTTTACATAATGCGTCCAGGGTGTGACAGAAGGTCCCCAGGGCATTTATCATGAATCATTACCACCATTTACCTGTATTTTTTTTGTGGCAGTGGCCAAAATAAAGTGATATTAAGAGAAATCAACATAAAATCAGGTGATAATAAAAGAATTGAATTGCATAGATTATATAGCAGGAAAAACGGTGCATCAAAAAAACATGATAATAACTGAAAAGTGACATTAACAAATGTGATATTAGGTGAAATGTACTGTACTTGTATAAAGATATCACATTATAATTGAGAAAATATTTAATTTGATTAAATCTATAGTGATCAGTATTAACTAAACATAAAAAAGTGATGTTAATATGGCAATTTTGATGATGTGTTTGTTGATGCTAAATTCAATCTTAAATGTAAATATTAGTCATAGTTTCCTGTATCCTATATCTGGCTTCTATATATAAAACTTGATCATGACTGTCAGCAGCCGCATTGATGACCAACGATGTGTTTATTGATTTGACGAGGAAGAATTGCTGGTAGTCAATACTACTGAACACCACACTAAATTATAGAAAGGTAGGACTTCCAGTGGAGAGTGCTCGTAAGTAGTTATAACCATCACCAGACATGCGGGTCGTAAAATAATGACAGAAATGCACTATCATGTTACTTGTTTAACAAATCAGAATCCAGTTTATTAGTTTATTCAGAAACAATATCATGTTTATCTACTGAGTGGACACAAGTTGATCATATCTAGCTAGAGTTATTATTGTTATCAAACACCTTTTGATAAAAACTTTAAGTACATTTTAGAAAACTCCAGATCATTAACCCATGTCCGATTGCAGTTTGTGCTGAGTTTATTTTTCAAAAACCTGCTTCCCACTGAAACATATTTGTTTTTGTGTCACAGTCACTGCCATACAAAGCCACTGTGGTGTCTGGGATTTTCTATACTAGTACAGATTAGCGGCTGGACAATAAATCTCAAATTTATTCAGAAAGTTTGATTAATTATTATACTTAGACAGTAAATAATTATTTAATATTTCGAATATCATGTCATTATGTAATTTTGTTAATTCCACTAAACTGTAAAGATGGTCTGTATAAATGAACATCATCACAACTCACCCCTACGACAGACATATCCCCTCCATACACTCTGGATGAGTAAGGTATTGAGCTGTAAGAATTGGAACCTTCTCTCCTCCAAAGGCTCAAACACAGAGTTTCTCATGAACACCTTCAAAAGTAAATACAGACGGGTAGAGTACACAACAGAATCTAAATAAGCTCATTTAAACTCAACGTATGAAGTGATTTTTAGTGGATCAAGTTTGACCAATGTTCACTCACTCCAATTTTCAGTTTTCTGTTCTGGTGACAGCTTATTTTCTATTGAGCCTTTTATTACTTGAACTGTTCGATAAACGTTTCAGTGTTGCTTAAATACAGAAGAGTAATGTCCCTTGAAGAAAGATGTCTGGCTTCAAGGGTAGCTGTGTGTAACTTTAGCTGATTTCTCTTTTTGCTATTTCTTTGAATTTTTTCTTTCTTGCTACCAAGTTACAGAGATTTAGACAATTGACCGGTTTTAACCCTCTTAACATCCCAAAAAATTCATATACGTTTTGCCACTTAAAACATATTTTGGCTGCACAAAATGTTAAAACGAATACCACTGCAAGGGAGATAACTTGTGTGAAATATATATCCCGTAGAGGAGGTGAGATTACCTGAGAGTTGCCGACCTGCCACTCAGTGCTGGGCAGGTTCAGTACATTGAGGATGTTCTTGACCTGCATGCGAGGATCCTCCTGATCGGCCTGCTTCTTCAGCAAACACCCATACTTTTCTAAAAATGTCGCCACAGGAACATGGACAGGATACCCCTGCAATATTACAGTCAAAAGTTTGTACAACCATAACTGATGTGTCCTGTTTAATTCTTAAAGACATTCTATATATATATTTTTTATTTTTATTTTTTTTCAATGTTCCTTTTCTTAATTATTTCAAGCATTTCTCCCATAGCAGGTGAGAGGAGGAATTTCTTTCTTACATATCACACAGTATCATTGGTCAATGATGGTCAGCGTAAATTCTGCCTTCGGCTTATGCTAGCAGATGAGAGGCCAATTGTTTTTAAATATTAGTTATTTCCTATTTCATTTCTATTTTGTGCTTATGTAAAGAAAGTGTTCTGTGTTTTTGTTGGAATTACTTCCTTGCCCCAGATTTTATTTGTCGGATATATCACAGGGCTGACTGAATATGTGGAGGGGTGGAGATTGTCGGATATATCACAGGGTTGACTGAATATGTGGTGGGGTGGAGATTGTCGGATATATCACAGGGCTGACTGAATATGTGGTGGGGTGGAGATTGTCGGATATATCACATGGCTGACTGAATATGTGGAGGGCTGGAGATTGTCGGATATATCACAGGGCTGACTGAATATGTGGAGGGCTGGAGATTGACTTTCTCCATTTTCACACTCGTTTTTCTCCAAAACAGCTGGGGCTCGATTCCCTAATTGGACATCAAAAGAGATAAGGTCAACTGCCCAACTACTTAGGTTTCCTCTGGGTACTCTGTTTTCCTCCCACATTAAAACCCTACACCGACTTCCATCCAGGCCAACAAGTGTTATCAATATAAGTTGGTAAAATTTGTTTTATAATTGTTGTAAAATGAATAAAGTTTCTATATATTCTTTACACTGAATGATTTAAATCTTGGATTAGAAATAGGTAGATCAAAGTGGCCAGTGTAGAAGCAATGTAGTGAAACATACCTCTCTTTTGATGCGGATGATATCCAACATGCCGGAGTAGCTAAGCTGTGTAAGAACCTCCTCATCTACATAATTGTCAGGCTTTTTACCAGCGTTCGGCTTCAGGCATCTGACATACCTACAACATATGATAGATTAACAGGCTGTAAGTTCAGAACTGAAATCATTATGGAACATTTTAAGAAAATATTTTTCCGATAATTTCTTTATAGAGACCACAGTGAAAAGCAGACTTTGTAAATAAGACGACATTCCAAAGTGACCCAAAACATTTTTCTGCTCTGTACATACCCCAGGGGCTATATCCTGGCTATCAAGGTACACAACACAATTAGAAGGTAACATACAGTGGTGTTACCTTACAACATAACAATGTTCCTACCAGGCAACAAATCATGTATTATATTCTGTCTTTAGTGATGTTGCATAAAATAAGTTGTTATTAATTAAGCTGATTTAAGGGATGATTTTTCGATTTGGTCAGGTTAAGACCTGGGATGATAACTCCAGTTAACAATGTGTAAAATACGAAATTAAATACATGGGGAAGTCACCTATGATAAAAGTACTCGTGTTCAACTATAATTATCACCTCATAGCCTGACCAAATTATTCCCTGTTTTTACAGTATTTTTTTTATAATAACTATATACATAAGACAGTATTACAAACCTCGCAGGTCCTATCAAAACAGTATTTTGAATGTATTAAATGATATGAGGAAATTTCTATTTCCATGCTATATAAGATATTTTTTGTTTCATTTCCGTACCATGGGTTGGTGAGATTGAGAATGTCCACAAGGGCAGACAACTGGTGTTTGAATGTGTCCCCAACTGTTGGCTTGCCTCGAGATGTACGAGATATTGTCTGTCTACCTCCAAGATCTTCCAGTCGAACTCCCAGGAGATCCTGTCAACACATGCAAACAATTACATGTTAACTACAGATAAAGTCTATATGTACAGTATATATTTTAATGTTTCATTCAGATTGTCATTTTAGTAAAGTGCTGGACACACACTATGATAAATATTTGCAAGAAATTCTTCAGATCATAATTGTTTTGGTGTTCCTTGTGAATTTTTGAAACAATTTCTTCAGATTATAGCTGTTTTTGTATTTCTTGTAAAAATATGTGCAAGCATGATGTTCTCCATTTACTATTACGTTTTCTATCCCGAAAAATGAAGAAACTGATATTTTGGCTCATTTTACAACCAAACATTGCAAACTTTCAAACACATTTAACATATTATAATAGATGATAGATGAAGTGTGATGTATTATCTAACAAGATGGTGTGTCCTCAGTTAGTCAGTTATATAGACTCAAGTTCCAAATTAAACTGACCTGAAACCTTGTGAGATCCGCTACAAAAGCATTGTTTGAGTTGTACATGAGTTCAAACAGCTGGTCCTGCTGTGTGTCCTTGTTCTTGTCGAGGAAGCCCTGGGCACGGTACCGCACTACGCCTGCGTAGTGTCGCACCCCAAACTCCACCTCCCACGTCCGCCTGTCCTTACCCTTGATATAACACGAATGATTCTCAAACGCCTCATGCTGCTTCAACAGGTATGACTTGTCTGTACCCTACAGAAGGAAAGAACATCAGTAATGGTTCCAGATGATATTCATATAATGTAGGCCTTCATTTCATTTCCCCGAATTTCTAGTGATTTTTCAATTATTCAAGGCAATTGAATTGTTTTTTCTATTCTTTTTTTTTTTTAATTCATTAGGCACTTTTCAAAAAAAACTTTCATAAATTGAAGCAATGTTCAAGGTCTTTTCAAACTAGCAATTATTTTTTTAATTTCATTTTACTGACAGAAAATTCATCATTAACAAATTCCTATAATGACAAAGTGAAACAAAGAAAGTTATCTGATTGATGACATATGTGATGTGTTATTTTGAATTGACATATAATATTTAATATGCATAGAGTTAAATTATCTTCAGAGTCACGAATTCTGATACTTAAAGACAACATTTTTGCATAAATATAACATGCAAGTTACGGTGGACTTCCTTGCAAAGGGAGACAACACCAAGCAAATTACTGCCCTTCACAACAACTCCTATTTTTGTACAACTCACCTGAGGAAATCTACATTCTTCATCCAGAATCTTGAGTATACACCTGGGAGGCTGTAGAGAAAACAAATAGAATATGTATTTTTCATTATGTAAAATTTGTAAAGGGCCTTTTTAATATCACAGAAATTACTCATTCAATTTTCAAGGAATGACGAATATTTCTGTATTCAAAGCTATCAGTAGAATGTGGGAGCAGCCTTAACTTAACTCCTCATCAGTTCTTCTGTATGTGTTAGGGTGTATGTGTTAGGGTGTACGTGTATGTGTTAGGTTGTATGTGTATGTGTTAGGGTGAACGTGTATGTGTTAGGGTGTATGTGTATGTGTTAGGGTGTATGTATATGTATTAGGGTGTACGGGTATGTGTTAGGGTGTATGTGTATGTCTTAGGGTGTATGTGTTAGGGTGTATGTGTATCTGTTAGGGTGTATGTGTATGTGTTAGTGTGTATGTGTATGTATTAGGGTGTATGTGTATGTATTAGGGTATATGTGTACGTATTAGTGTGTATGTGTATGTATTAGGGTGTACTTGTATGTGTTAGGGTGTATGTGTATGTGTTAGGGTGTATGTGTATGTATTAGGGTGTACTTGTATGTGTTAGGGTTTATGTGTATGTGTTAGGGTGTATGTGTTAGGGTGTATGTGTATGTGTTAGGGTGTATGTGTATGTATTAGGGTGTACGTGTATGTGTTAGGGTGTATGTGTATGTGTTAGGGTGTATGTGTATGTGTTAGGGTGTATGTGTATGTGTTAGGGTGTATGTGTATGTGTTAGGGTGTATGTGTATGTGTTAGGGTGTATGTGTATGTGTTAGGGTGTATGTGTATGTGTTAGGGTGTATGTGTATGTGTTAGGGTGTATGTGTATGTGTTAGGGTGTATGTGTATGTGTTAGGGTGTATGTGTATGTGTTAGGGTGTATGTGTATGTGTTAGGGTGTATGTGTATGTGTTAGGGTGTATGTGTATGTGTTAGGGTGTATGTGTATGTATTAGGGTGTACGTGTATGTGTTAGGGTGTATGTGTATGTGTTAGGGTGTATGTGTATGTGTTAGGGTGTATGTGTATGTATTAGGGTGTACGTGTATGTGTTAGGGTGTATGTGTATGTGTTAGGGTGTATGTGTATGTGTTAGGGTGTATGTGTATGTATTAGGGTGTACGTGTATGTGTTAGGGTGTATGTGTATGTGTTAGGGTGTATGTGTATGTGTTAGGGTGTATGTGTATGTATTAGGGTGTACGTGTATGTGTTAGGGTGTATGTGTATGTGTTAGGGTGTATGTGTATGTGTTAGGGTGTATGTGTATGTATTAGGGTGTACGTGTATGTGTTAGGGTGTATGTGTATGTGTTAGGGTGTATGTGTATGTATCAGGGTGTATGTGTATGTATCAGGGTGTATGTGTATGTGTTAGGGTGTACGTGTATGTGTTAGGGTTTATGTGTATGTATTAGGGTGTTCGTGTATGTATTAGGGTGTACGTGTATGTGTTAGGGGGTATGTGTATGTGTTAGGGTGTATGTGTATGTATCAGGGTGTATGTGTATGTATCAGGGTGTATGTGTATGTGTTAGTGTGTACGTGTATGTGTTAGGGTTTATGTGTATGTGTTAGGGATTCTGTGTATGTATTAGGGTGTACGTGTATGTATTAGGGTGTATGTGTATGTGTTAGGGTTTATGTGTATGTATTCGGGTGTATGTGTATGTATTAGGGTGTATGTGTATATATTAGGGTGTACGTGTATGTGTTAGGGTGTATGTGTATGTGTTAGGGGGTATGTGTATGTGTTAGGGTGTACGTGTATGTGTTAGGGTGTATGTTTATGTGTTAGGGTTTATGTGTATGTATTAGGGTGTTCGTGTATGTATTAGGGTGTACGTGTATGTGTTAGGGGGTATGTGTATGTGTTAGGGTGTATGTGTATGTATTAGGGCGTATGTGTATGTATTAGGGTGTATGTGTATGTATCAGGGTGTATGTGTATGTGTTGGGGTGTATGTGTATGTATTAGGGTGTATGTGTACGTGTTAGGGTGTACGTGTATGTATTAGGGTGTACGTGTATGTATTAGGGTGTACGTGTATGTGTTAGGGTGTATGTTTATGTGTTAGGGTTTATGTGTATGTATTAGGGTGTACGTGTATGGGTTAGGGTTTATGTGTATGTATTAGGGTGTACGTGTATGTTTTAGGGTGTACGTGTATGTGTTAGGGTGTACGTGTATGTGTTATGGTGTATGTGTATGTGTTAGGGTGTATGTGTATGTATCAGGGTGTATGTGTATGTGTTAGTGTGTACGTGTATGTGTTAGGGTTTATGTGTATGTGTCAGGGTTTATGTGTATGTATTAGGGTGTACGTGTATGGGTTAGGGTTTATGTGTATGTATTAGGGTGTACGTGTATGGGTTAGGGTGTACGTGTATGTGTTAGGGTGTACGTGTATGTATTAGGGTGTACGTTTATGTGTTAGGGTGTATGTGTATTTATTAGTGTGTACGTTTATGTGTTAGGGTGTACGTGTATGTGTTAGGGTTTATGTGTATGTATTAGGGTGTACGTGTATGTGTTTGGGTGTATGTGCATGTGTTAGGGTGTATGTGTATGTATTAGGGTGTGCGTGTATGTGTTAGGGTGTATGTGCATGTATTAGGGTGTACGTGTATGTATTAGGGTGTACGTGTATGTGTTAGGGGGTACGTGTATGTGTTAGGGGGTATGTGTATGTGTTAGGGTGTATGTGTATGTATTAGGGCGTACGTGTATGTATTAGGGTGTACGTGTATGTGTTAGGGTGTATGTGCATGTGTTAAGGTGTATGTGTATGTATCAGGGTGTATGTGTATGTGTTAGGGTGTATGTGTATGTATTAGGGTGTATGTGTATGTGTTAGGGTGTATTTACACAATCAAATTATCAGATTCAAGCAATTAGCTGAAAACAAATCAACATCATACATACATTAGTGATATCAAAAATGTGTCCTGGTCTTGGACTTTTCTATATTCATTTTTAGAGTTATTAGACAATACAGAGATATATTTTGTAAGTGTTGGTATGATTCATGTCTGACTTAAGTGTGACCTACTTTCTCCAGGAGTTCCACACAGTCTGTGTTATCAGTAAAGGTGATGTGTGCAAAAGATATGTCCTCTTCCTTGTACTGTAAGACAAACAATAAAAGTCACACAACAAAATAGCCAACAGTGACATAATCATTAGGAGAAAACGATTTAATCTAATATTAATGAGAAAATAGTTTATCAATATTTTCCCCACCTGTTCATATGAAAGATATAGGTGTCCAATGCAGAACACCCATGTGGGCTACTTGTATGGACAAAGCCTTGGTTCTGACCTAAATTCTACACCCTCAGGTAGAATATCCATGTCCCACATACCTACATATAAGGTGACAGTACACAAATTGGATCACCAAACCATCATTTTATTAATTCATTGAAAAATCTGGGGAGGAATTATATTCATTTATGGTTGTATCAAAGAAAGAATATTGATGGGTGTTCTTACAAACGAAATAAGCACCTGGGGCGCACTTGAGATATTTATAGAACGCTCTGAAGTCACCAATCAGCGTTTTCGTACTTTGCGAATGTCAGGACCCAAATCAGATCAAGGCATGACTATCTATTCTAAGGCTACATCATTGTAATAACTGATTTGCTGACACATTTATTGATTTACAAGTATTTTTGCAAAAGGTGATCCGTTTTGAGTACTGCCTCCTTACATATGATAGACTCTATTAATCTCCTCTTGGCATATTATTGAAACATTTTCCCAAAACTAAAACTCAATCTCTGAACTCTTCATTACTGGTCCCATTATATCTCAACTAAAACAATAATATTACAATACATAATGTACTTACATAAAGGCTTATAATGCTCACTGTGTATATAAAACACAAAAGTTACAAATCATAGTCCAGAATTCCTTAAAATTCCCTTAGTATGGAGCCCTACTGAATACCAGTCAGTATATACCTACATAACCAGGAACACATCCCCAGTTCTGTACAAGTGGAGGGTCATTTCTCTAAATCACCATCCTAGTTCAATAGTAACTCCAATGTTCTATAACAAGTACCTGTTCTAAAGGAATATGTCTGTTAAACTCCCTAAATGCACCAGTTCTATTGGTGTTTAATACATACCAGTTCCTGCTCCAAGGCAAATACGTAGTGGTTGAAGAATCTATGGAGTTTTTCGTTTGTATAGTTGATGCAGAGCTGCTCAAAGCTGTTTGTCTGTAAATATATCCAATGAGTTGATCTACATTTCATACAAAATCACATGGTACTCTTTACTAAGGTATTGAAATATTTTATACTGATAACAGGTGTATTTTGTCATCATTACCACAGGGTATATTACTTACATTTTACTCATTGACAAATACAATCTTTATAAGTTCATACTGTATCCTAACTGTTCATGAACACAATTTTGAAATATGTGATCAAAATGAACAAAAGAAATGGGATAAAGTCTAAAGTGATATTATAATTGTTCAGATTTTCTATCAACTTCAATGTAAAGAAGTTTAAAATGCCTGCATATAACCTTTCATAAACTGGACTTTTGAACTCTACAAAAGAACCCAGACCCCCATATGATATCACCAATGGCAAAATGATAACCATCGCGAAAAGTCTCTGACACATCTGTCAAAAGCCAGACAAGTTGATGTCTTTTATTTTTGTGTGGGCAAGGCAGCGTGTCTCTGACATTTTTCTTAGGCCAGACAAAACAGTTCTTCCTTCTACATCTGTGTGACTGAAACAGTCTTCAAATTCCTCAACAGTGAAGGGATGAAGTCCAAGCTAATGCTAAACATATATATATATAATTTCAAAATATATCAACACTGGCATGGGAAGTTTGTTAATTGTATGCAACAATTTCTCCATTACATAACTCCGATAAATATATACCTGAAAGTTTTCAAATCCAAAGATGTCAAGTACGCCAAGGAACTTAAACTGGTTAAGGCCTGGGTTGGTGCACTTGTTGATGGCGTCCACCAGCCAGGCAAAGGTACGAGAGTACAGGGCCTTGGCCATAGCATGGCGGTTCTCACTTGCCTGTCAAACACAAGAACCGCAACATCAATTATACAAATATAGATATAACTGGTGGTTTTATTTGACTTTATTTTCAGCATATTTACTTTTTTGTAGGGCAGCTTTTTTTCAGCATATTTACTTTTTTGTAGGGCAGCTTTTCCCGCCCTGCCACTTCTATATCCTTTGCCTGATTTTACTTGATTTGTCTCCAACTATCACCCACGCCCTAACTTTATGATGACTGGTTGTGATCTTTGGTTCTAATAAAAGCCCTCTCTCTATTTTCATTTTTTCATGTACATATATATGTGTTTTGATAATTGCCCAGGCTTTAATTAGAACCAATACAGTATGTTACATAATTAAGGGATCCTCTGATACTGTACTGTGTTGTACACTGTGATGTGAATGAACCTTTAAGTACCGTGATACGGCAATTAAGTTTTTCAAACGTCACCATCAAAGTAGCTGTGTAACACAACTCTGACATCAACTGTCCACTTATTACTCAATCTCCTACTTGGCTTCCAACTTCATGGTGTACAATAGACCCCATCATTGAAATCATCTAGAAGTTGTAGAGTATTACACTCTGTGACATGTGTTAGACCATGGACACCACGCCTCACATTCCGTCAACCTCGTCAATTGTTACTGTTAATACATATATAGAAGATCTACATGAGTATTCTCCTGATCATGATGTCACACAAGCAACCTCATACGTAATATACTAATTACTAATACCATTTTTTAATGTAAAGGGGCATAACTCTGCAAATATGTTGAAATGATTAAAACTACTAATGAAAGTTTATAACATGAGATACTAATCATATATATAAAGTTTCACTGAAATCACTCTGGTAGTCAAGGAGAAGTTTTCCAAAATATTTTTTGTTTTTAAATAAAGGGGCAGATATATGAACCATTTTTAAAAGGATAGGAAACTAAATCTTTAAAGCAGATGTACAACTAATACTTTGCTGCTTGGTACAAGTAATTTCATGATTTCCATTTCATAAGGAACCTTTGTAATGATATAATTATAATATAGGATCACAGTGAAAACAAAAGATTTATGGACAGACAGCAAATAAGGGGAAAAAAAACATCTAAATCTCAAGGCCATCACATCCCAAATTTAAAGGTGTCAGTGAGTGATGAAACCTAAAGTTCTGTTTTAGTACTGTATCACTGTAACCTGTGTTGGAAGTGTTTGGAGTAGTTCTGTTTTAGTACTGTATCACTGTAACCTGTGTTGGCTAACTGTACTACATTAACCCCATTAGGAGGGAGTCGCCACAGGCTGACAATGAACACATGAGACTTCTGTACTGACTGCTGCCTCCACTGTTCATCGTCACAACCACCACAGTTATCAGCATTTACATCAATGTGCTGGAAACTTTACAGTAAAATATTGTAATTTTTGAGTTGTGTCTTCAAGTGAAAGCAATACATTGCCATAAATTTTACCACTTTTTTTGAGTTGGGTCTTCAAGTGAAAGCAATACATTACCATACATTTTAACACATTTCTTAAAGAGAAGGAGTTCCATCACAAATTGATCAAATATAATGAATTATTACAGGATTTATCCTGAGATATTCACAAAGCTGTTATCAATCATTTACTGGTAATATATATCTAACTCTTCCAACACTTAATAATTTCGACTAATTTCTAATTCAATTTGTTAAAAATTTAAAACATTTATTTTGGAACGTACGTGGTATCAAAATATATTTTGTATCTATCTTTAATAATTGTGAACCTGTCAGCTCAACACGAGACATCCAGTTGTAGATCATCAGTATACAGGTGAGAACAGGTAAACTAAAGGGAGAATTTCTAATAACTTTTTATCTAACTAAATCTAAATAAATTTTGTTATTGTTAGTGCCTATGTATTATGGCAGGAGAATTTTTACTCTGCACTTAATATCAAACCCTTAAGCATTTTCAGTTTTTTTTTTTTTTTATATTTTACCATTTTAAGAATCTTATCACAATTTAGAAATGAAATTGAAGATTGGTGACAAGATGTGCCTACCAGAAAATGTCCAATCATTGGATTGAGCTTTTGCATTATCCTGTTTACAAGGTACTGTGCCTACATTAAAACATATCTTTTACCCATGACCTTGAACCTTGAATTCAATAGGTTTGTCCTCTTGCCATGGCCTATGTATATATATATCCCCATGCAACTCTAAACTAACTTAAGATTGAAATTAATTTGAATAATAGTTCCCTTATTTTAAGCACCACAGTTCACTTTTGAAAGAATATTTTATGGTTTTGTATAACTTTCAATGCAGCAAATTTTCTACAGAACACATTTCTATTTGTCAATCTAGATGTTTTACAAGGTAAATGAATCCTGTTAAATTTGGTATATACTGGTGACGATGTCGCTGACCTGTACTTACGTTCTAGATCTTGAATTTTAAAATTTATACTAATGATAGTACCATAAAACTATAATAACTTCCTTGGACTTAAGTCTGTACTTGTGATGGTGCCGCGGACCTATACTCACCTCCTGGAACCTGAAGGGTATACTGGTGACAGTCCCGCGGACCTGGATCTGCCTGAAGAGCAAGGCTTTGGTGAGGTCCTCAGCAGGAAAGCCTAACATGTCACAGATGGTGGCAAGAACCCCAGAATCCTCCTCCAGCACCTCGCTCCCTTCACCCTCCACTACATCCCCAAACCGCAGGTTACCCAGCAACAGGATGGAAGATAGCACCGAGAAAATCCCGTCGGACATTTGTTGGGGAATGTTGAGAACATTCATGGCCAGTCGTAGCCGGTCAAACATGGTCAAATCATTGACACCATTGAGAACATAGCAGCCACTTTGATTGAGGTAGGCGTAACTTTCCACCGGTTGTATGTGGAACTGTTCCTTGAGGTCGGGTGCCGCCTGAGCAGCGGCAATAAACTGATAGAACACATGATAGTTCCGTTCGTTTGGTGACTGGAATGTGATACGGGACTGTTCTAGCAAGTAGTCTTGTACTATACAACCCTTAATCTGGCACGAATCATCAAAACACACTTGCATAAATTTCCCAAATCTACTGGAGTTGTCATTTCGCACTGTTTTGGCATTACCTGTGTAACGGTAAAAAAAAAAGATGTATTATAGGTACAATGTGTATTCAACGACATAAATAATTCAGGTTTGCATTCTTACATTACCTTTACCATTACACAACAGGGTGCTACAGACAACACAGGCAGTGTCAGAGTTAACAATATTGATCACACAGGTCACAACTGACGAGCCTAAGTAATGTGGTGAAAACTAATATAAATGTACGATCCAGCTTGTCACAGCATCAAACTCAATAAATATAAGTTAGAGTTTTATCTGATTAATGTTCTGGAGACTCGTGTAGTAAGTGTGTAGATCGATCAACTTGTTTTTTAACAACAGCCCCCGGGAGAGGCTTATCAAACATTTACGATGATAAATAACATTAAGGTGAGACAACTCTGTAATGTATCTTAACCTGATCAAACTCAGTCGTAGGACTTATGGAAGCAACCGCAACAAAATTTAATTAAAATTGTAAGTCACACACAAACTTATTCCCCCACACTAACTTAGAACTAACAATTGGTAGTAACAGACAAACTTATACCATAAAAATTGACATTTATGCACCTTGCATACTGATCAAGTTTACATGTTTCAAAGAAATATCTATGTATTCCTATTAAGTCAAACTAATGACAATCAAATGACTAAAATTACTTTATCTGTGATCAATACTGAATACTCTATATTTTAAAGGCAATTACTGGACATCTTATAGAAAATGTCTTGTGACAATTGAATTTGAAGATTTTTTAAGATCACTACATTCATTTTTATTGTCAATGACTTTGAGATACACATCGTTGTGGGAAATGTCCTCTAACTTAGTGTTTAGGAGGAAATGGGAACAGTGATAATACACTTTACTGGGATCGTTCACAACCATTAAACATGACTCAGGGTTGTATCTGTCACACTCCTAGAAACAGCAATGGCTTCACAAGGTCACAACAGCATTTAAACAGCATAGAGCCGATTACAAAAACTTCCTTGTCAGTCATGTCAAGGTCCAGTAGTGTCCAGTCAATAAGGAAATGACAAATGTAGGTCATATCCATGTTTCCAGAACAGATACATATCATCACTGCATAATGTAGGTGGAGTGTTTAATCAATATAAAGGTTTTAAAGAAGTCCAATACAATTTCACATATGGCTACACATTTTTCACACAAAATTATCCTGCAGTTCCAGTTAATTGTAGCTGGTGAGACAGGGGGCCCAGGGGTCTAATAGGTTACCTGGAATTATATTTTCACTTTTGTTTTGTGTTTTTATTTCAAAATAGTGCAACAATTATAAGCTGTAACAAGGAGTTAGTCTATGGGAGAAGGCAGGACTCCAACAACATGACAGTGGTCATTCATTTTAAGACTTATCTACTATAGGAAGTAAGTCCAAATGGACCAGGTCTAGCTAGACCTGGGGCTAATCTTAGTATATTGTAGCAAGAAAGTATTCATATCTTCAGGCTCAGCAATTTTGTATTCATGGTTATAGGGTGGGGGATTTCAACTGTTTCCATGTAATGACCCAGGAGTAAGTCCACTGGGGTGAAGCTGAACCCCCAAGCCAATCCCAGTAGCAAAATTATATTGCTTATGCTTAGCAATTGTATATAAGGTCAAAGGGTGGAGATCTCCACTGTTTCCAAGATATATGACCTAATTTCCCTACTGAACCTCATACCTGGTGTAGGAATTAAGGGCAAGACAAATTCTGGTTGTGTGAATTTGTTTTTTTCTAATGATTTCATGTATGGGTATTCATGGATAAATTTATGAATCTCAATCGTTTTCCAAGTTATGACATACTTATCCCGTCTGGCTCCATCCTTCTGCCCCATGTGGGCCGCACACTCTATAGTTTATACAAGTTGAGTCCCTGCATAGTCCCAAAGATGCATGCTCAAGACAAAATTTTATTTAACTTCCTTCATCTGTACAGGAGAAGGGTTTTAAAATTTACCTCTATTTCACCTATTTGACATTGTTCCTCCGCCCCAAAGGGAAGTTGGAGGGGGGTTGGGGTTACACCTCCCATTTATACAATGATGTGTCCCCTTTGCCCAACAATATTTTAGACCAAATATCTTTCAGCTGTTCTGGATTTTCAAATTCAAATTCATTTATTGACTTTGAGCTTTACAGCTCATCAGTATGGACACAATACATATAAATACAGAGGCAGACACTGCAATAACGCAGTGGAGAATGGACAAAAAATGCATGTAGTTACATATATTTTAACATTATATCATGCTATTCCTCAACTGGGTGGCATCATATATATATTTACTGAACATAGTTAATTCTTTAACGTTCGTTGTGCTTAATAATTGAATCAGCTTGAAAACAGATGTTTTTTTCCAGTAGTACAATTTTATACGTCTTTCGCTTAAAACTTGATAAAATGGACAAATGAACAAAAGATGGTATTCGTCTTCAATATCTTCAGAGTTACAAATTCTGCATATACGTTCATTTCTTACAATGTTTCGATATCTCCCGGTTTCAATATACAGCGTATGCGCTGATAAACGTAACCTAGTTAGAGCAATTCTATTTCGCTTTGGAATATATTTACATAAATATTGTTGTAATGTTAAATTATCAACTAAATGTCTATACAAAAAACATTTCGAGGAATTCTCTAATAATTCAAACAATTCTTGCCGTGCGTTATCAAAGATTCTCTGTTTAATAATTGGCAGGGCTTCAGACAAGTTCACATTATTTTGATTCAGCCACACTTCGCCAAGACCGAGTGAAAAAAGTTTGTCTTTCACAAAAGTTACCCAATTAAAAACAGTATTTCGCTTTGGCATATACATGAGTTCATCATAGGCAGTTTTAAGAACACAGTTCTTAGTATTTAAAAGCTTGAACCAGTACTTAATTAAATTATAGTGTCTGGTATGTACAATCGGAAATCTACCCGATTCAAAATAGACCATTACATTACATGTTGACTTCTTAACACATAAAATCCTTTCGCAAAATTCCAGGTGAACTTTCTCAATATCTATGCCTTTGCACGAGCCCCATACCTCAGATGCGTAACACAGTATACTGGTAACATATGTGTCAAAAAGTTTAATCAAAGTATGGCAGTTTAAATTCATATTTTTACATTTTGTATATAAGGCAAATACTGACTTTCGACCTTGCCCGGATAATTGCTTTTGTACAATATTAAAGTTATTGTTCCATTTAAAATCAATACCTAGATAAGTAAACTGTTCAACGACTTCTAATTTTTTTTCTATCTAAGAACCATTCCTCGTTATTTCGTAAGCAGCCTCCATTTCTAAAGTCAACAATCTTAGTTTTTGCCGTATTAACGGTCAATTTCCATGAGTTCGCATATATAGACAAACTATTTAACATATTCTGTAGCTCATTGGCTGATTCTGCAAGTAGCACCAAATCATCCGCATACATTAATAAAAAGAGACTGAGTTCTCCAAAATCATACGGTTTAACACCGTTAGCAATAAAGTCATTTTCAAAGTCATTTACATACATTGAAAACATAATTGGGGATAAAATTTCCCCTTGGGCAAGACCCATGTTGTTTGCAAAAAAATCGGAACATCTTCCCTTAGATGAGACACATGTCTTAACTTTTTTATACATGGCTTTCAAAATTGATAACATCCTTCCTCGAACTCCTAATTTTGACAATTTATACCACAATTTACAATGATCGACGGAGTCGAACGCTTTCTTATAGTCAACAAAACAACAATATAAACGTTTACTATCATTTAGAGATTTTGTAATAATGGCATGAAGCGCGAAAATGGCGTCAACCGTACAGTCTACTAGTCTTTTATTCAGTACAGATTAGCACTTTAAATCTTTTCAGAAATACCTGTTCAATAAATGGTCCCCTTGTTTCTTAATCCTATACTTAAACCTTTACTCTAAATGTTGGTTACCATAACAATTTGGACTTCATAATATTTTGTCATAACACTAACTCAAGTTATAAGTACAAGATAAACAATGTGGGAAGATTAGAACAAATGGGGTACTAACACACGTCATATAGAGGGGTGTTTATAGACGTGAACAGGAAATGGCAGCAGACCTTCCCTTAACAAAACAGGAAACACTACTCAGATCACCCGAGAGTATATGTCTAATATGTATACACTGTACTATCTTACACTGCCAATGTACATTCATACACAGAGCAACTTTATATACTGTGAAAGGTCACAAAGATAGAATATATACAGATTGGAATTTACATAACATTTTATTCTTTAATTTGGTTCAGTGATCCATTGATCTGTAGCTATCTTCAATCTTACAGGTTATACATATTTTTACAGGCTAATCACAAAAAGTATGTGTTTCAGGTTTCGCTACCAACACTTATTTAGATAAAATTGCAAGAAGAGTTTTAATGAGACAGTAGAAAGTTTTATTGTGTTAGTTATTTTACAACTTTCATATTTATCTAATCAGTGCAACTAAAGCAGCTTTGAGTTCTTGAAAAAATAAGATCTGTAGATTATAGGTTTTAAAAGTCAAAATGTAAAATTATTCACAAATGAGTCGTGTACTATTTAAGTGAATATATTCTTGTTCTATAACTTAGGTAAACAATCGTCTCTGCCTACCAATCCCCTATCATAGTTTGTTTCGGAAGATGAACCCAAACCACACAGTTTATTCTTTGTAGGCCACAGCAAAGGAAGTCTTGTGCGATGGGTGTGTGCTACTGTTGTATGAATAAGCTAAGCTAGGTCATCTGGGGATTGGCAGCAGGTTACTAGGTCTCTGTTCTATCTATATCTATCAACAATACACCCAAGATTAGTTCAAATTCATGATTAACAGGGCACATTTGCTTCACAGCTGCAACCAAAAAAATGTTTTAATTCGTATAACATATAAACCATATCCTGCATTGAACAAGAGCATGGACGCCCTCTCAGCGCTCCATCAGTGACTGTACTTAGCATGATTTAAGTCGTCTATGTATTGTTGTATTTCTCATTTTTTTAAGGATTGACAAATGTTTATTGTATGCATGTACATATGACATGCTGGTTGACTGTCAACATGATATGTCCTGTATCAGCCTCTAATTGAGCCATTCCATTAGCTGGCTGTGGTTTCACAAGATGATGAACTGTTTATTATATTATGTGCAATAGTCTTATGTTCTTGGTCTCACAAAAATCTCCTCAAATCTGCATTTGTCTTGGCGTGTTGTGACCGCATCAGAGAATAAGAACATGATTTTGTCTATGTTGTGTAATAACATTTTTTTTTGTTTTATTGATATGTTGGCACTGAATCACTCATAATCAGGATTGCTGAATCGTAATTAACCTAAAAAACACCATTTCTCTCATAAGCACCCCCTTTTTTCTGTTGTGAGCATCCCCATACCTTTTGTAATAGTTCATATTGCATTTATTTATCGTTTACTACACAATTCATAATCAGCAATGATAATGAAACAAGTAGAAATTAATTATACAATGTCTGTTAAGGCCGATATGGTACACAGTTTTTATTTGTTGTGATTTATTACTTGATACATACATAGACTACCAATAGATTTGTTATGTAACTGGAAATTATCCAAATTTACAGCTGACAGCTCGTATCCACACATGTAATATCAATTGATTCCAATGACCAGACAATTATATATGTCTGATACCAATGATCCTAATGGTCTGTAATACCAGCTAATCCCCACAGTAGGCATCGGTTCGTCCTCAGTGAGGCAGTATTATACCCGTACATGGTCGCTGATTGTTTGGCTGAGTCCTGCTCCCCCACCAAATGCCAATGTTCTATACAGCAGCAGTGTCCAGGGATGAGGACAAGCAATGCCTCCCCAGCATCCGCAGCCAAAACACTATTTCTCCTAATGGTTCCTCCTCACATTCATCAATACTAAATGTTCCCAGGAGCCTCCCAGTCCTAAGTGCCAACCGGTTTACAGTGGACCCCATGATCATCAAATAGCTAGATGGAATTCCATCTACTTCATCAAATATGAATCACCCATATTTACAAATCATTTGCAATTCATGCCACTGCTTTCACTAGTATCCTGGTGTACTCCCCGCTAAATCACTCTAAGAAGTAGACTAAAGAAGGCAGAGGCTAATTATTCACTTCTTCTCTCTGATGATCATTTGTACTTTAATTGCGCCAACTCACTTGGAATATGCATACAAATCATACTTTGTCAAGTGTACATTAAGATATGAAGAAACCCATTAATGCAGAAAATAACGTACTTAATGTATTAAATGTTATAAATAATCAGGAGTACTCAGAAAATCATATGACAATAAATCCATTTAAACAAAATAGTAACAAACCAGTTTATTGTATGAAATGCCATAACAACTGGATCCAATCAGCTACTCTTACTTTTCATGTAATATGTAACACAGTGATCAAGTAAGACTGGTAAATGACATAAGATGCTAATGTCTCTGACAAAAACGCAATAAAAACATTGTGCCTTTAATTACATTCTTGCAGAATGCACATAAAGCGGACATCTACAGGCCATATCTAGAGTGAGGTTAGCATGGTATAAACCCTCACACACACCCAGGCCCACTTCCATCTAACAATCAATAGACACTTGGTTTTCTTGCATATTTCCTATGGTTGGATTGACATACTGCAGTAATTCTTGTCTGGCTCAAGTAAAATCCAATATTCACAAAGTATGTATAATCACAAGGCAAATTTAAATAAATTAATCAATTATCAGTTTTTGACTCGTTTAAAGCTGCAGGCATTGAATTTGAAAGCAATGCTTTTGTGCATTAGTGAAAGATACATAATACCAGCTGCCATTTACACTGGCATGTCTAGCATACTGCCATTTACACTGGCATGTTTACCCAGTACACTACTGCATACTGCCATTTATACTGGCATGTTTACCCAGTACACTACTGCATACTGCCATGTATACTGGCATGTTTACCCAGTACACTACTGCATCCTGCCATTTTCACTGGCATGTTTACCCAGTACACTACTGAATACTGCCATTTTCACTGACATGTTTACCCAGTACACTACTGCATACTGCCATGTATACTGGCATGTTTACCCAGTACACTACTGCATACTGGCATTTTCACTGGCATGTTTACCCAGTACACTACTGCATACTGCCATTTACAGTGCCATGTTTACCCAGTACATTACTGCATACTGCCATTTTCACTGGCATGTTTACCCAGTACACTACTGCATACTGCCATTTTCACTGGCATGTTTACCCAGTACACTACTGCATACTGCCATTTTCACTGGCATGTTTACCCAGTACACTACTGCATACTGCCATTTACACTGACAGGTATACCCAGTACACTACTGCTATTTACTGTGAAACATGCAACTTGTACAAAATGTGTTATATACATCGAAAGATACTTGTATTATAGTATACTATATATATCTTCAATCTCACTAAGGTTTTTGATGAGTCAATTTTCATCATCCCAGTGCTAATAGCTTCATCACTATTCACCAGGAGTTATTTTAACATGTGTCCCTACCAAGCCCAAGTCAAAACAATTTGATCTGTCGTTCAAATTAGCATATTTCACCTATGAACAAAGCAGAACCTCCCTTAAATGAGGACTTATGTAAATCTAAAACCTTTTTTCTTGAAAATCAAATTGTCAAAATAGCAATGTTCCGCAATTTACTAATTTTCTATGATATATTTTCAGTCAATAAATGTCTCTAACATCATGATCATCAAGTCATTGATGACCTGACAATGGAGTCACATGGATGTTATAAAAAAACTATGCATTATTCACATGTTTCAGTGCAACTGCACTCACATGCACAGGAACATTCACTACATCAAGTCTGCAGACATTTGTTGTATGTGTGTGTGTGTGTGTGTGTGTGTGTGTGTGTGTGTGTNAGCCTCCAGAATTTGCTGTTCTACCCAAAAAGACACATGATTGGTTACACTACACAGATACTGCAGGATAAACTTGGTGCTCTCCGTCTGAAACAGGTACAAAGAAAATTTGAAGTCAGATAACTTAGTAGTGTCGTTATACCTGGAAGGATCATATGTAGATATAATTAAGTCTGTCAGGAAATACAGGAATCTCTGTATGAATGGTTAGAGGGAAGTTTGGTCCAATAATACAGGTGTGTTTGTGATGTTGGGTAGAAATCTCTATATTGGCAGGTATAATACAGGTGTGTTTGTGATGTTGATTAGGACAGGTATCAGAGATGACCAACAGAATCCATCACTCCTATGTGATGTAGATAGAGAAATCTCAACCTGTAGGTAAAACTTTTGAAGTTTTGCCGAGTGCTTAACTTCAAATTTTTTATCCCCATGGTTGAATTTCTTTGTCTGCATCATAAAGGAGTGATTGATAATTTCTCTCCCACACTTTCCTTTTGTGAATATGAAGTTGTACAGGTGAACTCAACGCACAACATCATCATCAAGGGTGCTTAAAATTTATGGTGCTACGCTGGTTACACTGCATAAAGTGATGACGCGATGGTGTGATGGTGTCGTTTTCAGAATAATAGAGCATGTGAGCTGTCTTTCCCTGGGCAGTTAAAGACTGATTTATCTTTCACCTAACAAAAACGGTCATGCACTGTGAAGAAGAAACAGGTGTGTTTGTGATGTTGGGTAGAAATCCCTGTACGGACAGGATGATGGTACTGTTGTTTTTGCAAGAAAAGTATCATGCGATTGCTCTGTTATGGAGGTCTGGTAATAAAACTGTCTATTTATGGAGGTTTAGCAGATAAAGTCCTTTTTTATGAGCAGGGGTTTATCTGATCAATGATCGGAGAAATAATAATGCCAACTAGCAAAGGGCATTACAACTGGATAGAAGTGGTGTGAAATTATCTTCATCATCGAGATAGAGGCTATAAGTGATGGACCAGGCAAGCACTTCTGGGAAAACAAAACATCATAGCTGGGACACTGACAGTGTACCAAAGCAGGTCTGTTCAGGTTATCAGCAATACCATCCACTCTGACCCTTTGTCCCTCCATGTGATTACATTAGATAGTCCCCATCGAGACATACAGATCAATTCTATTTCTGGCCTAATCAATGACCTTGTCCACCGAACAGATGGTTAGTCAACCCCTCTACTACTGGACATACAACAGATGGCCATGGCCAGCAGACCCCCACCCAACTCCCACATCCAGCTTGACCTCTCTATTGTTGGTTAGCTCCAGTTGACATCTTCAGTATTACAGTAAAGGAACAATTAATTTCCCCGAGCCTGAATACATATTGGGCGATTTATTGATGTAATGCTTCTTAAAGAGCTATATGTTAGTGCTATCTCCCTATCAAGGCCTAATCAGGCACGAACACAATATGTCAATGACTTAAAGCACAGAAGATGGACACATGCATTATAAATATAATCAATATAAAATTCCCTTCTCAAGGTTACACATCAATAGCAACTTGTGTGTGTTTTTCTATTTTGTACAGGTAGAATAGTACCTTTCCTGCCCCACTCTCTCCACTGATGATACAGGACTGGTTGACCTCTGTGGTACGAAGACTCTGAAAGGCGGCCTCACTGATAGAGAAAATATGAGGATCCACCATGCTCATCTTCTTCCCATGGAACTCGGACACATCCTTCTGTCAACAAAGAAACATAAATTTTGTCTCTTAAGAACGAATGTAGATATCAAGAGACTGCATGGTGGATATATGGGGTAGATTATCTATTGCTATAGGACCAGGGGATCAGATATATCACAAATTGTCTGTATAATGTATCAATTAATGTTTAGGCCAAATAAATGTCTGTTTCATTTTATCATCCATCACAACCGGTTAATTAGAACACTTCTATTTACATATATCTATTAACAAAGTAATGATAAAAATTTTGGGTAATCATATTTATTCTTTGTATTCTATTAACTCTTATAGAAATTTCTCATTCAAAATTGTTGGTAATATTTGTATTCATATTTATTGTTATGCAAAATCTCAGTCAACTTTTTTTTTATTTGACCTTGACCTCAGGACTTGATGGCTATAAGGCAAAAGACGTCACCAGAACTCATCATCCTAACAGTGGTGTTTAGGCAGGCTTTACAACTACGATATAATGATTCTGCTGTAAGCTAATTGTATCAACGCACATTAAAATATCAATCCTCTCTGCCACCACACCAAATATTGCCCCATAAGAGCCTTCTCGTGATGCCCGTGTTTCAATGCTTTACCACCCTAAAAGTCCTATTCCCTTATTACTCATCCCCTAAGCCAGTGGTTGCAAACTGATCTTGTGCCCTTTGTGGCAGTGCTCTTGTTTTTAATTCAACCCCAAACGGGCCCAGTAAACTGCCTTTGCTAGTTTTACAACAAATGTCCAATCAATATCGGAACACATGGAGCCCTGGCGGCTTCTGTCTGGGACAAAACTACACTGTAACTACCAGTAACAACTACTTAAATCTTAATTCAAGGCTATTACCATATCAGGACCTAGACAATCTAGTCACAGACTCAATCACTTCAAAGTGAAAAGTAGCAGCAACGAGGTGCAGACTGATTCCATATCAACATTCGCGTATCATATATCTGTGACTGAGGATCAAAGTGTTTGTTACACAGGGTGTCTGCATCCTTATAACAGTGCGCACAGCAATGAATAAACCAGAATACAGAGCATCATAATGTTATAAATGTTTGTCTCACACACACAACAAATCAACAAGTACACTCTCTGACTGTCCCACCATACGATATCTGACTGTCCCAACCACAAAATATCAACAAGTACACCAATGGAATAAGCTGTTTGTCTGTCCAACCATACACTGTCTGTCTGTCCCAACCTTACATTATCTGTCTGTCCCAACCACAAAATATCAACAAGTACGTAAATGGAATAAACTGTTTGTCTGTCCCACCCATACATTATCTGTCTGTCCCAACCATACAATATCTGTCTGTCCCAACCACAAAATACCAACAAGTACGTCAATGGAATAAACTGTTTTTCTGTCCCAACCATACATTATCTGTCGGTTCCAACCATACATTATCTGTCGGTCCCAACCACAAAATATCAACAAGCACGTCAATGGAATAAACTGTTTGTCTTTCCCAACCATACATTATCTGTCTGTCCCAACCACAAAATACCAACAAGTACGTCAATGGAATAAACTGTTTTTCTGTCCCAACCATACTTTATCTGTCTGTCCCAACCATACATTATATGTCTGTCCCAACTACAAAATATCAACAAGTATGTCAATAGAATAAACTGTTTGTCTGTCCCAACCTTACATTATCTGTCTGTCCCAACCACAAAATATCAACAAGTCCACCAATGGAATAAGCTGTTTGTCTGTCCACCCATACACTGTCTGTCTGTCCCAACCTTACATTATCTTTCTGTCCCAACCACAAAATATCAACAGGTACGTCAATGGAATAAACTGTTTGTCTTTCCAACCCATACATTATCTGTCTGTCCCAACCACAAAATACCAACAAGTACGTCAATGGAATAAACTGTTTGTCTTTCCCAACCATACATTATCTGTCTGTCCCAACCATCCATTATCTGTCGGTCCCAACCACAAAATATCAACAAGAATGTCAATGGAATAAACTGTTTGTCTGTCACAACCATACATTATCTGCATGTCCCAACCATACATTATATGTCTGTCCCAACCACAAAATATCAACAAGAATGTCAATGGAATAAACTGTTTGTCTGTCACAACCATACATTATCTGCATGTCCCAACCATACATTATCTGTCTGTCCCAACCACAAAATACCAACAAGTACGTCAATGGAATAAACTGTTTGTCTTTCCAACCCATACATTATCTGTCTGTCCCAACCACAAAATACCAACAAGTACGTCAATGGAATAAACTGTTTTTCTGTCCCAACCATACATTATCTGTCAGTCCCAACCACAATATATCAACAAGTACGTCAATGGAATTAACTGTTTGTCTGTCCCAACCATACAATATCTGTCTGTCCCAACCACAAAATATCAACAAGCACGTCAATGGAATAAACTGTTTGTCTTTCCCAACCATACATTATCTGTCTGTCCCAACCACAAAATACCAACAAGTACGTCAATGGAATAAACTGTTTGTCTTTCCCAACCATACATTATCTGTCTGTCCCAACCATCCATTATCTGTCTGTCCCAACCACAAAATACCAACAAGTACGTCAATGGAATAAACTGTTTTTCTGTCCCAACCATACTTTATCTGTCTGTCCCAACCATACATTATATGTCTGTCCCAACTACAAAATATCAACAAGTATGTCAATGGAATAAACTGTTTGTCTGTCCCAACCATACATTATCTGCATGTCCCAACCATACATTATATGTCTGTCCCAACCACAAAATATCAACAAGTATGTCAATGGAATAAACTGTTTGTCTGTCACAACCATACATTATCTGCATGTCCCAACCATACATTATATGTCTGTCCCAACTACAAAATATCAACAAGTATGTCAATGGAATAAACTGTTTGTCTGTCGCAACCATACATTATCTGTCTGTCCCAACCACAAAATATTAACAAGTATGTCAATGGAATAAACTGTTTGTCTGTCCCAACCTTACATTATCTGCATGTCCCAACCATACATTATATGTCTGTCCCAACGACAAAATATCAACAAGTATGTCAATGGAATAAACTGTTTGTGTGTCCCAACCAGACATTATCTGTCTGTCCCAACCATACATTATCTGTCAGTCCCAACCACAATATATCAACAAGTACGTCAATGGAATAAACTGTTTGTCTGTCCCAACCTTACATTATCTGCATGTCCCAACCATACATTATCTGTCTGTCCCAACATACCTTATCTGTCAGTCCCAACCACCATATATCAACAAGTACGTCAATGGAATAAACCGTCTGTCTGACTGTACAACCATACATTATCTGATAGAATAAGCTGTCTGTCCTAACCATACATTATTATCTGTCTGTCCCAACCATACATTATCTGTCGGTCCCAACCACAAAATATCAACAAGTACGGCAATGGAATAAACCGTATGTCTGACTGTCCAACCATACATTATCTGATAGAATAAGCTGTCTGTCCTAACCATACATTATTATCTGTCTGTCCCAACCATACATTATTTGTCTGTCCCAACCATACATTATCTGTCTGTCCGAACCACAAAATATCAACAAGTACGTCAATGGAATTAACTGTTTGTCTGTCCCAACCATACATTATCTGTCTGTCCCAACCACAAAATATTAACAAGTATGTCAATGGAATAAACTGTTTGTCTGTCGCAACCATACATTATCTGTCTGTCCCAACCACAAAATATCAACAAGTACGTCAATGGAATAAACCGTATGTCTGACTGTCCAACCATACATTATCTGATAGAATAAGCTGTCTGTCCTAACCATACATTCAACAAGTACTCAGATGGAATATAAACCCTCACACCAAAATAAACTGTAAAAAACTTAGGAAGGTATAAAATGAACAATTCCTTATAACTTGACTTGACATTGAGTGTCACTTAGTCTCCACATCATGGAGAGCCCATGAAGTAGGGACACCCTGAACTGTAGGTAACTATGTATATACCAAATTGTGTGAGAGGATCAATTAAATGGTGGCATTAAGTGCACACCTTATTTACAGTGATGTGATAACAGATCTATGATGTTCAACACTGGAACACTGGGGTTAGAAAGTGTGCCTATAAATATATAATCATTAGTGTATATAAACAGCTTCTGTCATCAATCAAACAGGAAAACAAACACTATGATAACACTTGAAACAAGGGCACTATACCGGAATTAACAGTATCAAAAAAAATCCAAATTTATTATCACAATATCTTAAGAATATGATAATCAGGTATCAATAGTTTGGAAGATCCTCTGTGGAAGAATATACATGTAGGTTATATAATTATACCACTGACTTACTAAATAAACAAATCCCCATGGTGTAAATTATAACAAAAGTGATACCATTGACTTATTTCTTACTGATGTAACTGAACTGAGGTTGCACATTGGTTGTGACTTTGATGGAACACCACTAGGAACTAACACAAATCCAACTTCATTCAAATTTTTCATGCAATACAATGTATAGCATATAACAGGAACTTGATCTATGAGGACATTCACAAGAAACCAGATTTTTAATCAGTGACCTTGACCATTGAAATCAGACAAATTACCAGTTTCGTATCTTTGTATCTTAAATCTAAATTATGTAGAACCTGAGACCTAGAAAGGTTCTTTAAAAGGATGCAAATTCTAATATGTCTCAAATTTGGACCAAAATATGTAGTTATAAGTATTATTTGAACCATTATAGTTAAACAGACAGACATAGAGGACAACTTACCTGTTCATATATTGGTAGCTCTTTGTAAGGATTCACCGCCACTAGAATTGACCCAGTGTAAGTCTGGTGATGATGTTAAGGACAAATCTTTCAAAGGTTCAAAAAACAAATGCAACAATACACATTTACAAATTTCAATATTTTTAATTCCCTAAAAATGTATTGGTATAATCACATTAACATTTTCTCAATAGATCATAGTTGATTTATTACGAGATAATTATCATTGAATGTCTGACCTGTTGATGCTTGTACCTTGATGACGATATAGAACAAGGTGATTCCCCTCCATTTTACTTTTCCTATCCATTATGATTAATCATATTTATGAGAGAAAAAACGAACAGGTTAAAAAGTTTATTAATGAGCTCCTCACTACAGTTTTAACTTATAACTGTAATTATTTTATTTGATGTAAATACAATGTACATTTACAAGTCCTCTTAAAACGAATAATCTCAAAGATGAGCAAAATCTCAAACAAAATAAATATATTACAGAGAAAACTGAAGTTTGAAGGTAAATTCTAACCGATTGTTTATCTATGCAAATTTATCATTAATTATTTTTTGTACTAAATATTTAATACCAAAACATGTTTGAAAACATTTCCTGATGCCAGTTGTTTTTGTGCCTCCCACAAACATGACAGATGAGCTTATAGCTATCTGTAGGTAAAGTTATCTATTTATATCTGTACAGGGCAATGTCAGGTTAGAAACTAAACATGTGCAAGGTCTGATCCCTGGAGGAGCATACATAACGCTAAGTCAAGATAAGAATTCCTGGGCCTTTTTTTTTTAATTGCATTTCAATTTTCTAAGTTCACCATTAGAGATATATTTTGTAATATTTGTCCAATGGGGTCCAGACTGGACAAGATCACAAAGGGAAACCCTGTGAAGTTTTCCTGATCCCTGATGAATGTGTGCAGTGAGGTTCTGAAGGTGCCAATGTATGTGAACAAAGGTGCCAATGTACGTGCACATGTTTGTCTGCTGATGTACAGGTGGAGGTGATTACTTCCCTAACCAGACTTCGTATCACACTCAAGTGGTAGGTTCTTGTTAGGCTCTACTTAGCTAGGAACAGAGAGCTATTTAACTTGTTATATACTGAAGTAGGAAGGGAAGTCCCTGTTATTTAACTTACAGGCAGAAACAAAATGTTACTGATTTGATGCAGGCAAATCCAAGAGCCTCTTAAATATATACAATGCACAAACATAGGGTGTACAAGCAGCTAAGCCATGCCAGGCGGGGCAAACAGCTGACCCTACTATTATGTGCTATATTAAAAGAAACTGTAAAACGATGATGTTCACTGTCAGCCATGTGTGGCAAATTTAATCCCTGTACAGTGATCTGTTATCGAAGGCTTATTGCATTGCTGCCTTGGAACATTGGGAAACAGAAACTGTGGGATATAATCTTCTGTAATGTTCTTGATTGAAACCAGCTAAAACACCATGAATAATAGGATGAATATTTTGCATAAAAAAACCCACCAATATTGCTTATGAAAATTTTGATTACTTTGATGCTTTACAGAGCTAACATTTCTATCAGCTAACATACTTGATCAACAAGACTTTCCGATGTGTTCACATGTTCTGGTGCTACGGTAGACAGATGCTGGAGAGAATGATCTAGCATAAACACAATTGCAGAAAACAGTTTTCAGGGTAATTGGGATTATTTTATAATACAAACAAATTAACCATAAAATTTGATGTTAATGGCTCGAAACACATTAATCTGTAATTACAATCTCCTAAAATCAATAAGAATCGGTCTCCACTTGAGATTTATTACATTGTTACCATATATCAACAGCGAATCAACTCAATTATATGCCCTGTGCAGTGTGGGAAAACAGACTTGTTACTAGAAATCGATGTTAGAATGCATACACATTGAATGATGTATGTCCAGAAAATACATTCTGACTGTTGGTGTGTTTTCTGCAATAGACCTGAAGCTTAATTAAACTGGATGTAACGACCACAAGGAAACATCAATTATTTATCAATTATCATAAGAAACATTAATTATTCATCAATTATCCAAAGAAACATAAATTATTCATCAATTATCATAAGCAATATCAAAATTAACATGGATTATTGGCAACCTGCCTGATTAAAAAGTTGTAGGTAAGTTTGCAAATAATTGAGGGTTGAGGGGGGTGTAAAGTAAGTGGCTGGTTAGCTTCAAATTCAATTGGCCACCGCTATCTCTTTGTTTTTTAAACTTCCACATACATGTATGTTGTTAGTAAGTTGGAATCAGTGATATTGTTCTTATATATGCTATACTTCTACATGTGGCTCCAACACAAACCACAAAAAGAATCACCACAAAGGCATGGAAGGAATCATTAAAGGCGCACAGTAACATGTTCATGCTACAGGTGTGAAACCTGTCTAATCTGACCTGAGTAATCTGACACCTTGTTTAATCAAACAAATTGTTGTGATTCTATTTCTTTCTCAACCTGTCGGGACATTTAGGTAATGGCAACAACTGGTTCACCCATTGTCAGCATATTTATGTGACCCGGCAGAATGCTGTGCTGTGTGCCTTCGGCATGGTATTTCAGTGAGATAGCACTATAAAGTCGGCATCAGATAAGCGCTATCACAAGGAGGCAATTACACCAACACACCCTGCCTCCAGCACACAAACATTGTACACACATGCATCTTATCAATATATTGTGTCACACAGGAAGTTGGACATAACAGGTTTCAGTATAGAATAATGTTATGCAGTAGGTTTGTAGTCCTGATCAAACCTCATGATAATTCTTCATTTTTTTTCTACATAAACCTGTCATTTCACAAACCAGTCACTTCAGCTAGGAACAGGCTGAATGGACAGCAAGGCTTGCTTGTTTACAAATGGAAATTCAGTCTAAAGATGGGAATCTATCTATGTGTGAGCATTTTTATAACAGTGTGAAAGAAGTACTGGCAAAGAATATATGGTACAGATGTCATCATCACTGTTCCTCAAATGGTTTGGAACAACGAGTTTGGAACTAAAACATCAATAAATATTACATGTATGTAGTCACGTGGCTCCACAGTTTCAGTGAACCTGGCTGCTGTTGCCCATTAAAGCAAAGTAATAGACCAACACATTTTGTCCTGGAAAGTCAACTACACTGACGATCAGCCAAGCCATTCATTGATTATGGTCCCTGCAACCTGATCACACTGCACATGCAGTGTTGTACATGTATATATGCCGGTAGCATGTTTTAAAAAAACAAGTCTTTTAAAAAAATTTGTAGAACCCAAAGCAATAGACTTTCAATATGTGAAAGCTGAAACATTGGAGTACATAAAGGTGATTCTTCTTTGATAATATAAAATAACACTCGAAGTAGCTCAGGTGACTTCTGATTCTGATTAAATCAGAAGTAAATAGAAATCTTATATGCAGTAAGTCTAAGCCAACTACAGATACAAAACCTAGTTTACATACAGCAACCCTACTGTAAAGGTAAATTCTTCTTCAAGATGAAGAAGCTATTTAAGATACATGTATACCCTACATAACAAAGTTTGAATTCAATCAAACCAGTAGCATAAGAATACTATATCTTATGTACAAATAAACTTCTCTGGAAATCCAGATCACATTGCAAATATCCGGTCCAATATTTATATACACACAAACAGTAATAAGACCAATTTAAAATGTAAACCAAATATTGTTTTTTAAAAGCTTTGTGTGGTATCGGCACCATATATGCTTCATTTAGTTTTTGTGAGGTTTTGTTGTCAGAATAAACACACAAACACATTCCTTCTTTTCACTCTTGTAAATGTAAAGAATTGTCAATTTCTTTGATAAAAACTAAAATCCACAAATCTGTCTCTATCTGTAAAATAAGTGTCCAAAGTGGTAGAGTGTGTGTATTATGGCCTTGGAAGCACTGCCTTGTTATTGACAAAACGAATTACTGAACTGCCTTAGAGCATTAATTTGTATGAGGTCATTATACCACACTGTCACACAGGTGATCATAAGCTGGCAGCCCAAGACATGTAATCATGAGCTACGATACTTCCTGTCAGAATGGCTGACATCCTGCATTCAATTTCACAACTTGCACTCTTCTTTATATTTGATAAGTGACCCGATCGTAAAATGAATACATTCAACAGTGTAGAAAACTAAAGAATCTTTATGTGGGCATTGTTTTGTGAATGTTATCAAGCTGTAACATCTGTATAATGTTTACCTAAATTTCTTAACACCAGGGAAAAGCACACACCTGAAATGTTGTCGGGGCTGATCAGTAGGAGCCAATCGGGAATACTGTAATAGATCTTATAAATGCATCAAGTTTGTGGATGTCTTATAATATGATCTAACTTTGGCAAGAAAACCAATACGTTCTACCGATATTTATATACTTGTCACCCTGGTGACACTTTTAAAACATGATTTAACAGTTTATTTGTTTTTCGCTGGAACATTTCACTTTACTGGAAACCTTGATATTGGACCTCACTTTTCACAACTTTCTCACAAGTTTGGACCACACTAATTGATTATGCAGTGTAGTAGCTATATGTCATTGTTTTTATATATTGCCATGATTGTCAAGAAACCAATGCACTTTACACAATTCCAGAACAAAAGCATGTGTTCCCGACACATTAGCATGTAAGTAAAAGGAGGGCAGATGTGTCTAGCTAACTATCTTCCTTGTTTACACAATTTTTACAGTAATGATGTACAATGTAGGGTTGCCTCCCAGACATGTGAGCAGATGCTACAATGATGGAGGGGTTGCAGGCAGATGTCAAATGTGTGTTTACTGCTGTGGTTCTCATGGTGGTATACATCTACCTCAAGCATGAAATCTACACAGCAGGTTCACCTCCAGCAACTCCTCCAAAATCCACACAAACCCCATACATCACAGCAGTATGTTAGGTTTCCAGTTTTTAGATTTGTTGAGTAAAATATTATTTAATTAATTTTACATTACCAGACGTTCATATGGAGTATATTTGTACAGAAATCTTGTAGGTTTTGAAAATA